ATATATATATATACACAGTATACATTAAATGCTTTGTGCTCTGCCGAAACCGATATCCTCTCCTGCTGCAGTTCCGCAGGGTCAAGCCGTAGTTGCAACGTGTCTTCAAGGTGTCCTTCAAGGGACTCGCAAGCAGTCGCTATCCGAGGCCTGGGGTCTAGACTGGTCTTGAAAACGGGGATGTGGAAGGTTCGGATCAGGAAGTTTGGAGCTTCACAGCCCGCATCTGAATAAACTCTATATAAATATTCTGAACTTCCCAGTATAAATTGGGGGCTTGAGGATTTCGCTCTGGACGGTGACCTATGCCTTCGGGCTTGCCCACAGAGGGAATCGGCTCTGAAAGCTGCCTTTCAACTCCCGCCCATGTCATGTTGCATTTTCGTAGCAGCACGACATGATGCTGCCCACACAGGTGAGCTCTGCCCTCTTCGCGGTTCCGCAAGTGTAAACTCAAATTCCCACAGGCAGTCCACATGGTGAGAGCCCAGCACACGGCATCGAGCCTCGAGAGCAACCTGTCAAGATTCAGTAGACTTGAGGTTCGTTCGGGCACTAGGCAAGCTTACCAAATTGCCTAGCTTTCGCATTGGCCCGTTTCTCTCGGCAAGGAAAGCTCGGCCAAACATCGGCTGAAGAAATCAACTCAGGTTCAAGGTGGCGGGACACGCGTTGAACCCAGCTTTTTTCCCACATCACTGAAGGTCTTGGGTAGACTGTGTCATGTCAGCCCCCGGCCCCCTCCAAAATTGTTGACGATTGCTGTGCACCACAAGCTATCAGGCTGAAAAGGAAAAAGACTTCATCACCACGCTGCACGGGGCCTCGTACAGCTTCAATGCCTGGTCAACATCAACATGACAGGAGACAGAATGTTTGGCAGCAGCAACTCCCTTGGGATCTAAGAGATGCTTTCGTGTGTGTGTGTCTGTGTGTGTGACCTGAGCCCCAATCTGGCCTTGCCCGCATGAACGCGTCAAATGCAGAACTTGAGCATGACCCATCCACGGACAGCTCGACAATCCCGCTGTACCAACCCGAACGCGACCGAAGAATGAGAGCCGGCCAAAGCACCAGACTCAAAAGCGAGCGCCTCCTCGCGATGACCCGCAGCATTGGCGGCCATCGCCTCGTTGTGGGCGGCCTTCAGGGCCTGGGCAAAGAGTTCAGCGTAAAAACCCATCTAAAGCCTGTCTCCGTCTTCGGTTCACACTACGAGCCACCCCTCAAAGCCACTCACAAAGCTGAAACCTTGACCTTTAAACCTCGAGTCCTGAACGTCAAGAGCCCCAAAACCCAAAGCAGGCAGCCAAGCAAGTCCTTCTTGGGCCGAGCACCTTGTCTCAAATTGTGAAGCTGCTGGGGTCGCGGCAAGTGGATGTTGGGCCCCATAAAGCGTGGCAAGCCCTCTTCGAGCCTTGTCGCCAGCAGGGAAGGTTATGTTGCCAGAGGTGGCTTTACTTGAAACTACAGGCATGCCCCGAATATTCAACTTCTCAGTAGTCCTTTCTTTGTCCGTATCCTCCACTCTGTGTACATCGTGGTCCTTGTCTACACGTGTCTTCCTTCTCCTGATGTTCTCATTCTCGACTGATGCTGGCTGGCTTTCTATGTTGTGTATGATGCTCTTTTTCGCTCGATTTGTTTCATTGCGCTCAGAAGCCTGGGAAGCTTTGCCACGAACCCACGAAACCTCTCGGACCTCTCGAGGTCCAGAGTGGGCCGAATCTGTGCAGTTGCCTCTTCGCACATGGCTTACTTTGTGGTGAACATGAAGACTGCAGTAAAGACAAAAGAACGGCAAATCAAGTGACAAGGAGTTGGAGCAACTAGGGTGAAAGGTGTTGATCAGCACTTGATATGTCTCCAGTAGGCGCGAGGCTATTCGCAACTCAGCGCGGGCTTCCTGCCGGCACAAGCAGTCGTTACTGTAGCGAGAGGAGGGGGTGGCGGCTCGGAAGATTACACCTCTGTGCTCCAGCTCAGGACCTATTTTTCTGCGCTCAGATTCAAACCTTCGCACCCTCGCTACTCTTGCGTCGCTGTCACTATCACCATCACCACCACCACCACCA